TTATGACAAAATGGGAAAGGGATATGGGAGTTGGGTTTGATGAAGATAGACAGAGAAAGATGTTTAGATTGATTACACGATAATGTTAGTATGAGAGAGGTTGAGGTTAATTATAAGTGTGTGACACGATGGCATATTACACCGAGTGTAGAGCACAAGATGAATGGGAAAAACTCAAATATGTGTTGGAGATGGGATGTGGAGAGATCGGCACGGTGTTTCACATATGGTGGGAATGTCCGAAAATCCAGGCTTTTTGGAAGATAATAGTTAAATTAATTGAAGAAATAACTGGAATTTGACATAGGGTTAGACCCAACAACGTGCCTCCTACACAATGTGGAGACATCTGTAAATAAATAATAAAGATTCAGGTATTTGGTACTTCTTGAATGCGGCGAAAGGGTTGATACCCAAGTTTTGGCGGAAAGCTGAGGTACCGAAGGAGGTAGACTGGATTAATAGAGTAAACCAGATAGGTAGAATGGAAAGATCATACCATATGCAAGAAGATAGGATGAGAATTTATTCCAAGAGATGGGAAAAGTGGGAAAGAGCAGGATTGAAAGAGAAATATAGGAAGATATGAACTAGGATGTTAGCAAAAAAATTAATAAGCCTCAAGAGATTAGAAAGGGCTAGAGTCTGCAGAGGGGGGGAGGGGCGGGAGGGGGGGGGTAGTGGGACGGGAGGGAAAAGAGTTTTTTAGTAAGGGAAAGGTAGAAAGGTTATATAATTGTCTATTTGTATGAGAATTATTTCCCTTTTTGGGTTTTTGTATTAATATGAAAAATTTAATAAATATTTAAATTAAAAAAAAAAAAAAAAAAAAAAAAAAGAAGGATTTTGAGCTTTATTCACTTTTTTCAACACGCTGCTATTATTTTGAACACAACTGTATATTGAAAAAAAAAATTTAACGTTTTTGAATTTTTTGACATCACAACCATACACGCAAAGAACATATTTGGTCTAAAAGATTCTTTTATTTAAAGCACGACTGGATCTTTTATATCTCATTGGAGCTTAGCAAGACCAAGTTGTTAAATGAAGAAGACAAAAACGCAAGCCTGATAACATGGATTATTTATTTTGCTTTTGAATTGTTACATGTTTCTGATTATCCTGTGTAGGGTGAAACTAGAACTGTTGAAAATACATACACAAATTTGAGTACATCAATAACCATTTTTTTTTTTGTTTTTTTTTTCATTTTTGAGCTAGACTAAATTTTCACAACCACGTGTGCGCTAGGTAATCAAACCAACACAGAAGCAAACTTTTAGCAGAATACTGGTCAGTAAAAACAAAAGCAAAAAAAAAAAAATATATATATATATAAAGAGCTACCAGATATACAGACAGGCTCAGTTCCACATTCACTACTGCATTTATAAAGCGCAAGTATTAACGTTTTGTTCGGAGATTTCAAGATCAGTGCATGGATTTTTTGCTTTCAAGCGGACAGACGAACAGACATCAAGAAAAAGATACACTCGAGTGGAATGTAAAAAGGTTGGGGAAAAAAAAAAGCTGTGAGAGCCTGAACTGACTAACTGAATACAGTACTATGCGCATTAATACAATTTACCAGTTTAAATATTGTTTTACTGAAAAATGTATCTTGAATGTGTGTTCATAACGTAAGGAGAGGAAAAACAGCTGACAGTGCACCAACAAAGAAAGGTTTGGAAATGGTCTCAACCATGGGTAAATAATGGATAATGAACCCGACCTTGCCCCAAAAACAGTCTCAGAAAATATACTTGTGAAGTGCAGCATCTTGTGGTGCCTGGAAGTACAATGTGTTTGTCTTTAAACTGACCTCCAAGTGGAGTTTAAAGAAAACATGTCATCATGGAGATAGATATAGGAACTGCCACTGCGACTTCCTTCTAAAATAGTTCCTGGCTGCAGCAACCAGAACTAAAAATTAGTATTTGTATCTGAAGCATGTTTTTAGGCCAAAGTCAAGTTCACTATAAATGGACTTATGCCCTTTATGGCTGAGACGAGGCTAATGATCTCCACTCGAAGCAACTGGGATCATGTCCACAAAAAAAGCACCTTTCTCCAAGTAAAACTGATCACATGCACAACCCAGGCATTGAAGAATGGTCACACCTATAGAAAATTGCCAATTCTGTCATAGACAAGTAAAGAGGGAGATTACTGAGCAAGAATGAGCTTGTTGGCTCTAGGGAAGTTTCCTAACCTCAGACATTTTGCATGCCAGTTACATTAAAATAGGTCTAGATGGATCCCTGGTGCCTTTGGGACCATTAATGTGTTTACATACGACAGAGGTGCTCAACCTTTAGAAGAGCGAGGGCCATTTAAGTGATTTAGTACCTAGTTGCGGGCCACGATAAAATGGTGTCAAATTTTTTGTTTCGAATAATGAACAATTTTCAAAAAGCGCAAACCCACAGGATATCATAGGAGTCTATGGCTAACCTGCAGGAAACCCGCAGGTGCACTGTGCAGCACCTGTGGATCAGTGTCAAAGCAGCCTAATAGCTGTTAACCTTTTTATAGGTGCTAATATGCCCAATGCAAAAGTGCCACAGTATGTGATGTTTAACACACTGACCTTTCCCTCTTCCAGCTTCTGCTGGCATCACTCTCCAGGTTTCTAAAAAGGTCCCAGGTGAAGTACACTTGGTATAACTCCCCCTGGCACAGGAGCCGGCACTACAGAGGAAGCATCAGCTTATGCGGCTCTTGCTCCCTCCACTGCCGACGCTGGCTCGATCCACTCTGGTGCTTTGGGATGGTGGGTCTGCAAGCTCAAAATCACGATCAATGGGTTGCTAGCCCCAAGCATGCGCCTCCCAGGTTTGAGGTCGAGGGCCACAGGTTGAGCACCCCTAACATAAGTCAACACTTTAAAAGGGATCACCAGTCAGAAGGGCCTCCAACTACACTAACCCCCTCTGGATCTTGAGCTGAATAAATGTGAGGGAAGTCATCTCAATCAGTGAAACTGAACCAGGTACCTCACTGGCCCACAACTTGTAATGTTGCAAGATCAAGAGAATGGTCTCTTCTATGGCCAATTCTTTTAAGATTGAAGTCACACCCTGAAAACAAACTTTTGTCACCCATTCATACTGCAGCATGCGCAGTTTTCCGTTTAGCACTACCCCAAATAGGTATAGTGTGCAGCAGTTTTGGTGTGTTGCTCATAACAAAAAGGTTCCTTAGATAGATGATCACAAGGTGGAAACTGTCACATCGGATCTGAGGTTTACTGGCATAAAACTATAAATAAAGCCTAGCAAAATAGAGATTGGTAAAACATCCAGGTAGGGGAAGCAGAACAATATGTGATGGCTGGAAGTTAAAAAAAAACAAAACAAAAAAAATGTAAACAGTTAAAATTTTGTGGCTAAACGTAGCGGATTTCAAAGTTTACTCCACAAACAGGATACTTGCATGATTACCTTGCAGCATCGTTCTATTATAGATCATCCTATTATTGACAAGTACTTTACAGTATGTATTCGAGCCCCTGATACATGTAGTAAAACTTGTATTTTCATCTACCTTACACATATATAGACTTAGCCAATTAGAAGGCAAAAGGTAAGCGGTGTACCATAATCTAATCTAATGCAAAAAAAAAAAAAATTACATAGTCAGCTTCATTTACATGCCCATTCTAAGCTGCTGAAAATGGATACCAATTGGATGCTAGTGATTAGTACATACCATTGATCTCTGCATTATGACATTAAAAGGCACCCACCCTTTTCTAAAAATGAGGTCCCAGGAAGGAAAAAATTAAATTAGAAACCATGACCTCTAACCCAGGAGAGCTGCAATTTCGGGTTCGCTAGACCTGATCACAAAGTACACATAGGCCAGGTAGCCATAAATCCTTCCAGAAAGTAAGGTTGCAGCCAGGACCTCTAATGAGGGCCAATGTCTATTGAGTGCCCAGGAGCTTTTAATATGGTGCACTGTTAAGGTCTTTATTCTTCCTTTAAAAGAGGTGCTGTTATTAACAGACACTAGATCAGCAAGATCTCTGAAACCTGAGCCCTTAGATAAAAACCAACATCAATGAGAAATAGGTTAAGGAAGGTGCTGCCAGAAAAAAAATTCTCTTTAGTTCCAAGATGACCTATGGCAATGTTGTCCTGAACAAATCAGTCCGACCTAGTAAAGCCAAACTCCGATAAGGGCCTCAACCCTACATATTCCTCAGTGGAAGTTGAGCTGAGGGCTATTACTAATCCCCTATAATGGAATAAAAGTTAAACTTTCCTGGAAATGTTTTAAGAAAGCCTACATACAGGTGAGTGAATCTACTGGCAACCATTCAAAAATGACATAACATCTTTGGGTGAAGTTCCTCAAAGCTGAAGATCTAAAAAAGTGCACACAATATCAATCCAAAGATGCAACATGATGCCAAAAGACTGTATTCAGGCTTACAAAATGAGGCTTCCGGATGTAGCATTTAGATCAGACAAATGCATCATCATTACAAAGAGCAAACCCCCCAATCAGCATAGTAGAAGTCAACTCATCCCAAGGGTTACAGTATGTTAACATCTGTTACATATACAACAGAATTGTACTTCGACTTTTTTTTTTGTCCTAAAACATGTCATATGAATTGAGGGAAAAAAATCCGAATCTAGAGTGATTTTAGCAACAAAGTCCCATAATCACAGTGTTCAGTTTAAAAAAGAAAACTTAATCACACAAGATCTAATTACATATTGAAACCTTATATATATGATATACAGATAGAATATACCATATATACATAAAAAGTTACAATGTTTGTCTCCTGTAAAACGCCTGTTTTACTTCTTAATCCACAAAATGTTCTGCTACACGGAAGTTGTGAAAGTCGATGTACTATTCTCTTTACTGGTCGCACAAAGGGGATATACAATACAGAGTGATGGTGAACAAAAGAAAGAAAAACAAAAAAAACAAACAAAAAAAAAAATAACAAAAATAATAATTGTTGCGTGGCAGTTTTAGTTGTCTCCCTCTACATTTTCAGCCTCATCGTTCTGTTGTTCTGAGGTCCATAGCTGGAAAAACACACAAAAAAAAAAAATGTACTTTAGTTCATGCATCACAAAAAACATGCCAATGGGCTCAAATCAATGAATTCGTTTCACAATGTTGTATTGCTTTAAATTTGTTAAACCCAACAGGTACCAGCTGGATATTACCCTCACACCCACAAGGCATGCAAGGTTTCATTCGAGGTGATAAGACTTGCATTGAGGAAAGGAAAAGTAAATTGGAACAATAGAGCAGCACTGCAAATCCAGAATCGGGTATTAAAACGAACACAAGCTGCTTCAAGTATATATATATTGCACAATCACATATTAACTTTCCTGCTGGTCCAATTCTGACATTTCTCTCCTACAATTAAAAAATACATTCTTTTGCTGGAAAAGTACTCAGGACACCAGAACACACACAAAAGAGAGAGAGAGAGAGAGAGAGAGAGAGAGAGAAGAGAGAGAGAGAGAGAGTGTGTGTGTGTGTGTGTGTGTCAAATGGTGGTTATTGCAATTGTTTATATCACACAGTATTGGCGCAGCAATTTGTTTTTTAAATGCAATTTTTTGGGGGAAAACAGGATTTGAATCACAATTTATATCACTAGTGAAAAGGCTCGATTTAAATCATAATTTTAAAGAGCAGCTGTCATCTCTGTCCCGCAGTGGCTCCTCCTCTGATTCACTATTGTCACACAGACAGTCCCATTCACTTTAGTGGAACGGCTGATGAGGCAGTGACACAACAAGGTGAGTGACGTGGCGGCAGCAGGTGAGTGGATGCCCGCTAACAGGCGCTGCCATGATGGATCTAAAATTATTATTATACAGGATTTATATAGCGCCAACAGTTTGCTCAGCGCTTTACAATATAAAGGGAGACAATACAGCAACAATACAAGAGGGTTTGGAGGGCCCCGCTCCTTGGAGCTAAAATGACAGGTGCTCTTTAAATGTAAGGAATCCGACTCATTCTTGCTGGTAGTTAGAATCTTGAATAATTGCAAACCAAATGAAGGTTTCCTTTTTAGAATAATAAGCTGTCAGGTTAGTAAAACAGCGATATCAGAACCAAATTTAGATTAATAGGTTAATCACACATAGCTGGAGAACTAGTCAAATTCTTTTATTTCCTGTTTTATCTCATGGTTACTGTGAAACTGTGTGAATGCATCAATGCAGTGCATGTTATGTCAGCTTGCAGAGCTTGGATTCATTGAATGAGTTTACCAAAAATGTACGTATTGCAGAATATACAGCCTCATGCTACATAACTAAGCTCCATTTCATGCTGAATAAACTAAATTATTATTGTATCTTAACTAGAAAACTAGCTTTAGATAGATTTTTACTACAAAAGCATGTTATTAAAATAAATTTGATAAACACAAAAAAATCCGATCTAAATAAAAATAAGCAGATTTATTTTTATTTTTATTTCTTTTTAAATAATCGATTTTTATCCACCCTGGGGAAAAATACACTTTAATGAATTCTAATGCAAAAAAAAAAAAAAATTTATAGATCTATCTCCCAATTTTTTGGTAAAATATAAAAGATGTTACGCCAAGTAAATAGATACCAAACAAGTCAAGCTTTAAAAATGCACATGCTTGTGGAATGGCATCATACTATACTTAAAAATTCCAGTCAACGATTTCAATTCTTAAAGGTTACCAGTTTAGAATTAGATAGGAGGTCCAACGCTAGAAATATTGCTCTCGCTAGAACATTCGTAGTGATAATTCACATTTGCGGTGCGAACAGCATTTACATATACTGGCACAACCTACAAACACATGTGACACTGCGCTTGAGCATGTGGGGACGGGGAGATTTATTTCTATTTTTACACTATCCCTTTAATTTTTTTATTTTTTTTTTAATCACTTTTATTCCTACCACAAGAAATGTAAACAAGAATTAAGGCATGACAGGTCCTCTTTATGGAGACATCTGGGGTCAGGAAGAGCCCAAATATTCCTCTCTACCCTGGAAAGCATGTGATAAAAAAAAATTAACCACTTATCCTCCTGAGGATTTCCCCCCTTCCTAAACCAGGCCATTTTTTGCGATACGGCGCTGTTACGTTAACTGACAATTGCGCGGTCATGCAACGCTGCACCCAAATTAGATTTAAGTCCCTTTTTCCCCGCAAATAGAGCTTTCTTTTGGTGGTATTTGATTGCCTGTGCGGGTTTTTATTTTTTGTGCTATAAAACAAAAAAAGACCGACAATTTTGAGGAAAAACTATTTTTGACTTTTTGCTATTAAATATGTCCAGTAAAAATAAAAAAAAAAAATAATTGTCATAAATTTAGGCCAAAATGTATTCTGCGACATGTCTTTGCTAAAAAAAAAAAAAAAAAAATCCCAATACGTGTAAATTAATTGGTTTACATGAAAGTTATAGCGTCTACAAATGGCAGTATATATACTGGAATTTTATTTATGCATTTATTTTTATACTAGTGGTACTGCGATGGGCATTCTGACACTGCGGGAAACCGACTTGGGGAAACTGTTAATAAAAAGCACTGACTGTACTAATGGCACTGGGCAGGAAGGGGTTAACATGTGAGGCAATCAAAGTATTAACTGTGTGCTGTTTCACAGTGTGCTGTGTAAGTGCTTTCCACTGTAAGCACACTGCTTTGTATGGCTGTGCTATGCAGGGCCATACAAAGCAGTGTGCAGGAGCTGACAGGGGAGAGATCTGTGCTTATACACAGGTCTCTCCCCCCGTCGGAGATACTCAGCGCCAGCGAGCACCCCCTACCCGAAACTGCAAAATACACGTGATTTTGCGCACCCGTGCCGCCCTGTAGCAGTGTAGGGTGGCACAGAAGCAGTTAAACACAACACCTCTTCCCAGAAGTAAAAAAAAAATAAATAAAAATGGCAGTGTTTACATCTGCCAGAACTGGAACTCATGACATCACTTCTGGCCTCCCAGGACTCAGCATCCCAATAGCTCGGGAGCTAATTAGCCGCTAGGTGCTATTCCCGCTGGCTGAACCGAAAGATACTGGGGTGATGCCTGTAGCTGCAGGCAGCATCCCGGTATAATCCCCGAAAGCCATGGATCTCATATGACACCCTATGGGCGGGCAAGTGGTTAAAACACACACAAAAAAAAAATTTTCTTCATCAAAAACACAAGAAAACATCACTAGTAGTAGTTTATCCCATTTAGCTTCTCTTGTGCTATATTGTTGAAGATGTTTCTCAGTTTATCCAAGCTACTTTCGTTCAAATGATGTGTTTCAGACAAACGCCAGCATTTTTTTTTTTTAACCTACAGTCAAATTAAGCCAATCACCATGAAATGTGTCATGACAGACATTTCAAAGTGTTGGAACCCCCCTCTTCTACTTACATGATTCCACCCTGTGATGTCACAATGTATGTTAGATGCCAAGTGTTTCATTTACATGGCTTAACATGTAGCGGAAATACATTCAACATTTCAATATTATTTAAAAAAAAAAAAAAAAAAACAATACCTACAATAAATCCATACATTATGGATCAAGAATTAATGATGTAGGTACTTTTGGTTTTATAATACTGAAACGTTATGCATTTCTTCTATGGGTATTTCCTTTTATAGGTTTATTTTAGTGATTGGTACATGTGGGGAGGATAATTTATGTACTTTATTTCTATATAAACACTTTAGACCCTGTTCACATCGATGCAACTTGTCATGCGTTTTCATGGTTCAAATCTCATGACAAGTCACACTCAATGATCGGTAATGGAACCGTTCTAAATTGGTGCAACTGACTTTGTTGGAGTCGCACCAATTTGAAAAGGTAGTTCCTGCACTACTTTTGGTGATCTCAGATGCGTCTTGCAGAAAGGTCTTACAAGTTGCACTGACATCAGACTTTGAAACTGTGCGATTTCACTTGTGGATGTCAGTGTGAACCCAGGCTTAGTCTGATGACCAGTTTTAGTTTCTATAGTGTCTTACTGCTTATGTGCTTTAACACCGTCCCGCCTGGCCTATAGAAGGTTGACAGCCGGGCGGGACACTCGCCGTTGTGACTGGGCATCATATGACGTCCTGTCGAAATGAGCAGCTCTCGCGGCCACTGCACGATCTGTCACCGGCTGTGTCCACGAGACACAGCCGATGACACATCACTACAACGGCCCGTTGCCAGTGTCATGTGATCGCTGTGACCAATCACAGCAGATCACATGTCAATTGTGTACAATGGATGGCTTCCTGTCAAGCCATCCATTGTATAAAATTATGTTGTAAGCTGTGACTGGTCAAGGCAGTCACATGATACAGACAGGGCCAATCACAATTCATCTGTAGCACGTGATCAGCTTTACCCAATCACAGCTAATCCCAACAAAAGACTGAATGAATCAGTTTCATTCAGTAACAATAATTGCAAATATCAATGAAATACATTGGTATTAGCAATCATAATGTTTTAAAAAAAAAAAAAAAAAATCCTGATCACTTGCCCAGAGTAGTTCAATGTTACTATGGTAACATTGTATTGCTTTGGTAACAGTGTGCTGAAAAATAAAATAGTAAAAAAAAACCAAAAAAAAATTTGAAAAAAAAAATACGAATTTAAATTATTATTTTAACCAAAGAAATGTAGCAGAATACATTCCAACCTAAATTTATGAAGAAATGTTATGGGGTGGCACAGTGGCTTAGTGGTTAGCACGTTTGCCTTGCAGTAAATGGGTCATGGGTTCAATTGCCTACCATGGCGCCTCCTGCATGGAGTTTGCATTCATCATGGGCAGCACAGTGGCTAAATGGTTAGCACTTCTGCTTGGCAGTACTAGGGTCGTCGGTTCCAAATCCCAGCTACAGGATCACCTGCCTGGAGTTTGCATGTTCTCCCTGTGCTTGTGTGGGTTTCCTCCGGGTACTCCGGTTTCCTCCCACGCTCCAAAGACATGCTGGTAGGTTACTTGGCTCCTGTCTAAATTGGCCCTAATATGTGTATGTATGAATGTAAGTTAGGGACCTTAGATTGTACGCTCCTTGAGGGTTAGGGACTGATGTGAATGTACAATATATATGTGTAAAGTGCTGTGTAAATTGACAGCACTATATAAGTACCTGAAATAAATATGCTAAATTTTATAACGAAAAAAAGCGCGTTTATTTTCAAAAGTTTCAGGCGTTTTTTGTTTTATTGAGCAAAAAAAAAACAAACAAACAAAAAAAAAAAACTCAGTGGTGATTAAATACCACCAACAGAAAGCTCTGTTTTTGAAAAAAATTATAAAAATTTCATATGGGTACAGTGTTGCATGACCGCACAATTGTCAAAATGCGACAGCGCTGAAAGCTGAAAATTGGCTTGGGCAGGAAGGGGGTATAAGTGCCCGGTATTGAAGTGGTTAAAAAAAAGCTAAAGCTACAATGCTAACCTGACAAATTTATAAATTGTAATTAAATATCAGTGCAGACCTTTGAAAGCTTGTTGGTTGTTGTGAGACCGCATCTCATCTGACTGCATACAAGGCTATGTAACAGCATTTCTGCAGAAGAAAGCCTTTTGGCAACCCCAAGGTGAGCAAACCTATTATGTATGTGCTGCTGCATGTTCCTTATGCAATGAGCCAGGATTACATGTATACATTGGTATAAAACCAAAGAACAAACATTTAATAAAATTTGTTATATTTTTGCTATTGAGCAAGGCAGACTAGACACATTCCACAAGATGTGGGCCCCAGAATGAGCTAACCAATAGAAAACCTCTAAGTCCTCCTGGTATGTACCTCCTGGAACCCACAAGTAGAACAATCTGTGAATGTAAATCAAGTCATGTACTTTTGTAAAATCATTACTATTTCACACCATGCGTTGCTAGAGCACTGGGGTGATACAAACGCACATTACCGCATCATGCCAGAATGCCGAGGTGTAAAGGGGGACTAATAAATAAATGTAGTTGTAAATTTTAAATCAACTAAAAATATACCATCAAGTCCAAGGTGTTGTTGACTTTAGAAAAGCAGGGAAGGTGTGGGGTGATTTTAATCAAACAAGATACAAAAAGGATTCTTGTACCCATCCTAAAATCCTTTTCTCAAAGTCCATTGAGGGTCACAGCTTCATGGTAATAAACATCCAAGGGTTGGCATACAGGAGAAGACTAGGCACATAGAAAGTGAAGGGCAGCCCACTAGAGGCTCTAACCTCTTCTACCTCAAATTTCTGAGTGAAGGGAATGGAAAGTGAAAAACCATCCAGTGTCTGGGAAGGAACCAGCTCTCAGAGCTCAAGGAGTCATGTTTTATAACGACGCTGTACTTACTGTAAGATTGTCCCTTAATAGCTGCATGATAAGAGTGCTGTCTTTGTAAGACTCCTCATTCAATGTGTCCAGTTCAGCTATTGCCTCATCAAATGCCTAGAAAAGGAAAAACACGATATTGACACTGAAAACTGGGTCAACATATTGGTAAAGGAACCTGAATATACACGCGATGATGTGTGTTCCTTGGTCAAGAAATTGGTATACAACTGAGTGTTATCATGTGACTTATGTTCCAAGTCTCCGTAAGGACTTTTCTAAAAACATTGTAGGATAGAGCCTAGAACAGGGGTCAGCAGCCAGTAGATCGCGGCCAGGTGACTGGTAGACCACGGTCTGGGCTTGTTGATCCGCCATCCAAAAGCATCCGAGTGCAATGCAGAGGGACTACTTGTAAAGTTGGAGCTGTAGTAGAGCAAGAACCACATAGGCCGATGTCTCCTCTGTAAAGCTGGCTCTTGTTCCATGCGGAGTGACAGCAACAGCACTCCACCATTTATCCCGGCTAGCAGCCTTCAGAGTGGTGCCAGCAGCAGTAAAGAAGAGATCTTCACGTCAGTGTGAAGCAATACCTTAGATTGGACGCCCCTTGAGGGTCAGTGACAGATGTGACTGTACAGTATATATATGAAAAGCGCTACGTAAAATGACAGAGCTATACAAGTACCTGTATTAAATAGTATCAAACGTATGCTCTGTAAATCAACCCTTACTGTTCTCAGCCCCCTACGAGGCTGCTTTGATCCTGATGTGCTGCGGTTTACCTGCATCGTGGGTACAGCGCAGTGCATCAGACTCCTGGGTTTGCTGTGCTTAGCCATAGGCTTCTATTATATTCTGCAAGTTCGGTGCACCAAAACTCCTGAATACAGGAATACTTTCAGAAAGTGCTCCAAACCTGCAGGACATAATAGAAGTCTATGGCAAAGCACAGCAAACCCAGAAAAGCCGCAGGCACACTGTGCTGCATCCAGGCTGCAGTCAAACCACAGCACATCAGTGTGAATGCAGCCTTTATAGGGGGCTGAGAACAGTAAGGGTTGGTTTACAGAGCATCCGTGTGAAAGCAGCCCTATACTATTATTCCCAGTGTATTGCTTTACACGGACGTCAAGATCTCTTCTTTACTGCTGCTGGCACCACTCTGGAGACTGCTAGCCAGGATAACAGCTAAGGATTAGCTAACATTTGCAGTCTGAGGGGTGGTAAAAGCCCATAGTTAGGACGTGCTTTGTACCAGCCCCGCCCAAACCCTCTTTAGCTACAGTGGCCAGGGGTGTACACATGTCATGATTGGTGGGTGGATTGGTGGGTGGGAATGAGGCCACTATGCAAGTGCCCTGCAACCTACTGCAGTACAGCAAACAAGAGGTTAAAGCAGGCAGCATTGTGTCACTTTCTTACCACCTGCTCTAACACCTTGGACCCTGTAGAAGCATGCACTTGCAAAGTAGCCCCATTAATTTGGATGGGTCAACATTGGAAGGCAGTAGCATCCACCAAAAGCAACAGGGGAGTTTAATGCCTGCTGCAGGGGTTGGGATTGGGGGCTGTAAAACTGTGACTCAACCTTGGGGTTTTACCACCCCCCAACTTTGTGTGTTAATGAGACCTAATGATGCCACTGCAGAATGCAATGAAGGGCTCAATCACAAGTGTAGCAGGCACTGTTGCTGCTCTGAAAAGCCATCTAAGCGTGTTTGACAGGTAGTGAGGAGGCGATGTGTTGCCTCCTCAACCACCTGACATAAACCCGTGATTGCCGTGCAATGTGCACGATTGCGACACGGCAATTAGAGGTTTAGATGAGAGGAGGCGACATGGCAACACTGTGCCCGGTGATCTTTGACGTCCTCCATGTTGTTCAGGTAGATCCCCACCTCTTTCAGAATTCCTACCCCGTGGCCTAGAAAGAGGCTTACGACACAGATGCAACCCAGAGGTGTCATATAATGTGGGCTAGATTATTTTTTTTAAAAGGAACCACTGCCATCTAATGTCTATGATCAGCACAGCAACCAAGAGGACAAGGAAACCATAAAATCCTACCGTTTTTGCTAGGCTGCAGGCTTTTTCTTGAGAGTTAAGAATTTCATAGTAAAACACGGAGAAGTTGAGAGCCAGTCCAAGTCGAATGGGGTGTGTTGGCTGCATCTCACGCTTGCTAATTTCAAACGCTTCCTGATAAGCTTTCTGAGAATTATCTACAGTAACTGTGAAAGAAAAAAAAAAAAAAGAAAAAGCCATTAAATTACATTGCAACCCCCCCAGAAGGCACTAGAAAGCAAAATCCTGAATAAAGGTAACCACAGTCATGAAATGACAGTAACCTTTCTGGCTGTTAGATGGATTAGGCGATCTCGTGATTACGAAAGACTTGACCCCACATTTAGCGAAGGGTTTCAGAGAGACCACCTTTAGCCTCTTCCTGACCGCCTAATAGCAGAAATACGGGTGCGCAAAATCATGTATATATACATGATTTTGCATTTCCAGGTAGGAGGTGCACACCCTATCCGCGCCGCCATTCGTGGCTGCGGCTGTCAATCACCAGGTCCCGGCCAGTAATTACTCACCTGCGCCCGGTGATCTCCGAACACCTCGGACAGGGAGAACTGTTTTCTTTACTAACAGTTCTCCTCCCTGTCAGCTCTGGTACACTGCACAGCACAGCCATCCAGGGCAGTGTGATTACATGGCCCCCTAGTAAACCACTCCCTGCACAGTTAACCGTTTGTTCGCCCCACGTTAACCCCTTCTTGCCGAGTGCCATTGCTTTTTTTTTTTTTCTAACACTGATCACTGTATTGGTGTCACTGGGGATGCTCGCCTCAGTGTCAGAATGTCTCGTTATAAGTCGCTGATCGCTGCCATTACTAATAAAAAGAAAAAATCCCAGTGTATATATACTCCGCTATATGTAAACGCTATAACTTTCAGGTAAACCTCAAAAATATTTTCTCACAATTGTCGGTCTTTTTTTTTTTTTGTATAGTGCAATTCTTCAATCTTGGCCAAAATGTATTCAGCAATCTTTTTAGTAAATAAACTCAAATTCGTTTATAACCAAAAATTATAATTTTCCAAAATTTTTTATTTACATTTTCATTTTTTTTTATATTAATTTTTTTTTATTTAAACATACCATCACACTAGCAGTACAGTGTCACCATAGTAACACTGTACTACTTGTGGGGGGGGGGGGGTGAAGATTTTTTTTTTTTTCACACATTGCTTTTACACCCATAAAGTCTATAAAAGCAATCATTTCTCCTTCTCTCCAGCTGCATTCTTGCAGCCATTGAGAAATACTGTGAGAGCTGTGATTGGTCACAGCCTGTCATATGGTACAAGGCTGTTATGAATAACCTTGTACCATGTGATCATTCACAGATTTCACTAGTAGTAAGCAATGATGTCAGGAAGTGACATCTTGTTTACTACTGTTCCTGTGATCACTAACTGGCCAATCAGTGATCACATGAATCGGGACTTCACACAGAGGTCCCGTACAGCGATCAGTGTTCCACTGCATCCTCTGGACACAGCGGGCACTGGATCGCGGTGCTGAGCGCTCACAGGCAGTGAATGAGGAGGCCATTTATAAAGGGCCACCTGCTCCTGTCCAGCCGTTTATGTACAAGGGCCGGATGGGAAATGGTTAACAGAGGGATATGGAATTTAAAGGTAAGTTAAATTTTAAGTTTCGTTTTCCATTATATGGATAATGCCATTAGAAGGAAGGGGAACATCCAAAGCCAGGAACACTGGCAGAGGGATGTTGGGGTCCCCATATAGACAAAGAACTATAGAACAACTGCCCAGATTCTTCCTATAGCAAAAACAACACTTTGGATGGACTGACCCTCTAATCACAAAAAGATTAGAAAACCTCAAAAACGACTCAGCACTAGGTAATTATTAATATTGATAAAAACTCCACCTTGTTTCTTATCTCCAGTTGCTACTTCAGAAAGGTACCGATAATAATCTCCCTTCATTTTCAAGTAGAAGACCTTACTTTCTGGTGGTGTAGCGTTAGCGATCAAATACTTTTCCAGAAGTTCCTGCAGAAGAAAAAGTGTGTTACGTCACAAAGGTGTCAAAAGCTTTTTCGGCCAATGGGTAAAATCAGTCAATGAATTGCTAAAGCCATTTAGAAACTGTGCAATTGAAAAGCATTTTCCTCTATTCCAGCCAGCTTGATACATTGGATACATTTGCACAATGCTTTACATATAACTAATCACCTTCAACCTTCCAAGGCAAGTTGGAATGATTCTGATTGGCGGCTGTAAGAAAAACATCTTACCAATGACTATTTGATACATTAGGGTTCTGTACAGGGGCAGAGTGACAATTCATGGGGCCCCCGGGCAATAGGGGATCATGGGATCCGGTGTCCTTGCCCAAACTCAAAAAAGCCTATGAAAAAGGTACCAGGGCATCTCATAGGGCCCCCTACTGACCCCGGGCCCTCGGGCAGTGCCAGAGTTTCCAAATGGTCAGTCCGCCCCTGGCTCTGTATGTAGAAGGGAGCAAGGTGCCTTCAGTGGGTGCATTTGACAACACATCTACTGCAACAGGAACCAAGAGAGGTTCTCAGGACAACAGATTAGCGAAAAGAGAGTGAAGGAGAAGCCCTGAGCATGGAAATGTGTGATCTCTACATGGATTTCAAAGTTTAAGAATTCATTTTGACAGAAGATCTCTTTGAATACCCACTGGTGGCTTAAAACAAGAGCAAAAAATACTGAACTTCATACACAGTGGAAAAAAAAAAAAAAAAACAAACACAATTGAAAGCCCATTTGAAGTCTCGCCCATTTCCTCTAGATCACAGGTGTCAAACACAAGGCCTGCCAGCCGAATCCAGCCCTCCAGGCCATTTCATGTGGCCCTTGCACCTTGTCTCCACTGCCACCTGATCTCAGCAATCGGCAGCAGAGAGGAGAACAGAACTCCTCTGCCAAATCCGTGCAGCTGCAGCATTCCCTCATCTCTGCCTGGACTCCGGAAACTGACTCCACTCCTTGTCTGGTCCTCCTCCAGACCCTGCACTTTCTGCTTTCCAGCTCTGCCCCCAAAGGGGGTGAACGGTGATGTTATGGAGGATGTGGGATTCTTTGCATCTGATGTAATGGGGAAGGGGGGGTGGGTGGTCTAGTCTTACACATACAACCGGCCCACCATAATGCTGATACAGCTCATGATGAAATGGAGTTATACACCAGTATAGGAATATCTAGAGCAGGGGTGTCAATTAGGATCTTTAAAAAAGGGATTCTAAAGCTTGTAATAGAGGGACAAAAAAAAAAAAAACCTAAATGTCATACTTACCTGCTCTGTGTAATGGTTTTGCAGAGCAGTTCCAATCCTCTTCTTTTTTGGTCCCCTGCTGGCAGTCCTGGCTCCTCCCCCCACTGAGTGCCGGCAATAGCAAGCCTCTTGCTATGGGGGCACTCAAGCAGGCTCACTCCCGAGTTGCACTTCTGTGAATGAACATTCATACAGAGAATGTGGCTGAGCCTTGCCTCCGCTCTCTCCTCACTGGTGCACTAGTTGCAATTGACAGCAGTGGGAGCCAATGACTTTAGAACCACTTTAAGTCCTCATGCACACTGGATGATTTTACAACTGACGGTTTTTTTTTTCTACAGCCAGTAAACTCCCCAGCATGTTCTCCTATGTGTCCATGCACACATAGGATTTAATCAACATTTTTTGGTAGGGTAGTTTTAAGCTGGAAAAAAAAAACAAAAAACAAAAAAAAAAACCAGGACTAGTGGGTCTTTAGAGGAGCTTTTTAGTTGTAAAAACAATCTAAAGCTGAAAACCGCGGTAAACTGCAGTTTTAAATTATTCAGAACTATTCTCGCCTCCGATGCGCGCTGCCCCGGAGCTCCCCACCTGGCCGCTGACATCTTCCAGGATCTGAACACCAGCTGCTGTCATTGGAAGGGCAGAAAAGACGTCAATCCCGCGCACACATTGGAGAATTTGTACACGGAGCTGCGTCTGCGTGGCTCACTTTACAGGGGTGTCATAGGCAGGGGCGGACTGACAACTCATGGGTCCCCCGGGCAATAGGGGATCATGGGGCCCCCGTGTCCTTGCCCAAACTCAAAAAAGCCTATGAAAAAAGGTACCAGGGGCATCTCATGGGGCCCCCTACTGACCCAGGGCCCTCGGGCAATGCCCGAGTTTCCAAATGGTCAGTCCGCCCCTGGTCATAGGATTGTCATAGGATTCCAGCCTCCATCAGAGGCTCATTGGACAAATACTGAGCATCGTTCCAGAGACCCCAAAATGAAATCTTTGCAGCTTCACCATTTTCTCAATATCATTAGCAATTCTTTTGAGATCAATGTGCCTGATGCCTACAGCTGCACTCGTATGTTGCTTGTTTGTGGACAAACTACCACCCAAAATAACAAATGTCTTCGGATCCCCAGCGTGATATTACAGATTCTAAATAAAGAGCGGCTGAAGAATGGGATATATAGATTCCACACTTGTAATTTCATTGAGGAGGAGAGATTCACATCACTGAGGATTAACACTAGTTTTATCATATGTTAAGCACAACCAATAGCAGATAAAAATCTATTAAAAGATTCAGGGCACAAGTATATCCATGGCAACCACAAATATGCACAGATTAACCTCTTCCGTGCCAAACTGTATGCTGACAACTAAGAGGCGTGTGTGTTTTAACCTAAATACGAACGCTTCTATACTTAAATATATGTTTTACGTCGGTCATTTCCTGGAATTCCTCCACCATCCCTCCATCCACAGACCTTTATTACCATCCGACATTTGATCTTGCTAAGCTTTCCCATCTGTTTTCAGTGGTCATTTAGCCCATTCCTGTATGCTGCATTGCAGCTCTCCTGCAACCTAATCTCTGCTTCCCCCTCCGCTTTGCCATTTCACCACCATCAGCACCCCAGACGGCTATCTGGGGGAAGGGGGACCTCTTTGGGATTGGATGGGGGCATGATGCTTTTGCCTCCTCAAACTGGGGACAAGGAGAACCCTGCAAGAGAGGGAGGCTTGACAGGTGTCATAACCAAAGGTGAACTTATCACCTTAAATGGTTATATGTTCCACCTGTTTTTAGGAAGAAACATTGACCCTAGGATCACATATGTATGGGTGGTGCCGCTGCGGATCAGCACGAAAATCCATGCAGCCGCACCACCCGCACAGAAGAATGTGGACCCGCGGGCGGGTGCCATTAGTTCTAATGGCACGCCGCCCGCACTGGAAAACGCAACCGTACTGGGAACCGAGGTTCTTGTGTGGGCTGCATTTTCCAAAGAAGTGCAGGGACTTCTTCCCTGTGTGTCACAGGCATGGGAGTCCATTCAAATGAATGGGCTCTCGTGCCCGCGTAAAACGCGGCCCGCACGCCCGCATATATGTGAACCGGGGGTCAAGACATTCCTGCTCCTGCAGCTCTAATGCATGCCATAGACGGGTCGAAAATCGGCCGATTTTTCTTTTAAAAAAAGAAAAATCGGTCGTTCAAGCGGCCGACGTTACCAGCAACGGTAAAAAAAAAAATTGTCCGATTTTCATCCCGTCTACAGCCAGCAAAAAGTGTCCCTGCAGAGAGCTACGCTATTTCTTTGACAGTTCCTTGACATTTATAGCGGTTGCAACAATGTATCTGTTTGTATCCATTTAGGATACAGATGTTTTTATTCGGAAACAAATAGATACAATGTTGCAACCGCTATAAATGTCAAGGAACTGTCAAAGAAATAGCGGAGCTCTCTGCAGGGACACTTTTTGCCGGACTGGAATTCCTCTTCTTCCTCATCTCCTCCTCTTCCTCTTGCAGGTCACTGCTCATGCGCAGATTTTTTTTTATCGGTAAAAGATCGGCCGATTTGCCCATCATTGCCGCGAAAATTGGCCAATCGGCAAAATCGGCCGATTTTTTTCCAACTTTACCGATAAAAAAAAATCTGCCAAAATACCGAAAAACGGCCGAACATTTAGCCCACTAACGATCCGAAAATCGCCCGATTTTATTTTTGGACGAAAAATCGGCTGATTTTCAACCCATCTATGGCCTGCATAAGTCCCCTTCACCCCCGGGACAGCAGGCCGGAGAGATCTTCTCCCCCCCCCCACTGTCACAATGTGAAAAGAATGGGCTCTGCCCACAAGGCCATGTCATTCATTTACAGAGTTCTGGCAGGGAGCTGGTGAGCATTCCTTGCAGTTCACCGATTTTTCCTGGACTGAAGTCACTGCCTGTCTGTATCAGAAGTATACTGTCAATCTGTAGTAGCAGGACATTGCACTCGCAATCTGATTGCAGATGCAATGCTTTCCAGGCACATTTTTTTTACCTGCAAAGAAATGTTAATTTATTTTTTTTTTTTAAAGTGAACTTATCCCTTAATCTCTGTGTACATTCACTGTACTGACCTGTAATAAGAACTCTAAATTGAGCATTAAAAAAGTACCACATGAAAACTGTATATGTAACAACCACAAATATTTTGGTGGAAAAATGTTCGTTATAGTCAAGGTCATCAAATAATTCTGCTGCTGCTAAATTTGATCTAGACAGCACTGCATCGAAAGACTTGACCACAAAAGGGATCTGTTCACGAACCTTGCTGGACCGAACTTGATTTGGCAGACAAGCTATTATGGAGAACCCATGCAGGGCTGCAAAAAATATATTTTGGTGGAAAAATGTCAGTTATAGTCAAGAACATAAACATTGCATGGCTCACACACCCACTAAGTCTAGGTTCACACCTATGCAGGCTGCGTTTGAGCCATTTCTGCATTGCGTTTTTGATGCATTTTGCATTATTTTTTTCTTGTTGCTAGGCAGATAAAAAAAAAAAAAAAAAAAAAAAAAAAAAAAAAACACGTGTCTGTTGGGTTTGGTTCAGGCCATGGCTCTCTCTCGTTCCATGAGAACCTTGATTGGTTTCTTGCTTTTTTATGCTCGTAAAGCGATACTCTTAAAGTGGAAATCCCCTCATGCCCCCACATCCAGTTTCTGGAAACATTTGGTTAATATGGTCCTCCCTCTATATAAATATACTACTTATGAATCTAGGGGGTGTCCCACTAAATTTACTAAGGTGTGGCATTTCTGGATTGATTCTTCCGAATCAGTCCCTTCCAGCTCTGATCAGGATTGAGATCCGGTTTTTTTCTATCCTTTGTTGCAGGTTTTTTGCTCGGTGTGAGTCGCCAGTGATCTTCCTTCTGTGGGAATTGTTTTCTGCCATATCTAAGCCCTGTGTTATCATTAGGTGTGGTTGTCATCTGTTTGTTGTTGTTAACCTTATCTGTGTGTTAGGTTTCTCTTTTTGTTTGTTTTTTTGCTATTTGTGACTTGATCAAGCCTGGGTATGCCCAATAGGCTTTGTTTTGTATTCTCCACTTTATAAGTCAATAAAGTAAACTCTTAGATTGTAAGCTCTCAGGATCAGGGCCCTCCTATCCCTCTTGTATTGAACTGTATCATTGCTCTACTGTCTCCCATTATATTGTAAAGCGCTAAGCAAACTGTTGGCACTATATAATCCTGTATAATAATAATAATAATAATAATAATAGAGAATTAAAAAAAAAAAAACACCACAAAAATGCACTATATGCTTTTCTGCATGGTTTCCATTGAAGCCTATAAAACCATAACGCAACTTTTTGCATTCAAAAAAAGTCCCTGACCCTTTCCAAAAAACACACCGGGTGAAAATGTGGAGATGTGAACCTGCCAAATAGGAAATCTTGTTAAATGGACTGTAGTGCTTTTCTGGAAAACGCTGCAGAAAATGCTTAGGTGTCACCCTAGGGTATATGTATCATGGGCGGCACAGTGGCTAAGTGGTTAGCACTTCTGCCTGGCAGTTACTAGGGTCGCCGGTTCAAATCCCCACCACGGCACCACCTGCCTGGAGTTTGCATGTTCTCCCTGTGCCTGCGTGGGTTTCCTCCGGGTACTCCGGTTTCCTCCCACACTCCAAAGACATGCTGGTAGGTTTATTGGCCCTGGTATGTGTATGTATGAATGTGAGTTAGGGACCTTAGATTGTACACCCCTTGAGGGTTAGGGACTGATGTGAATGTAGAGTATATATATATATGTAAAGTGCTGCGTAAATTGACGGCGCTATATAAGTACCTGAAATAAATAAATATGTAGAAGCACATGGAGAATGTAATAGGAAATATCTGAACTCAGCTGTCATGAGTGTAGTGGGTATGGGAAGAGCTCTCCTACCTGGGTTGAGCTCCTGAAATATCACTTTAAGGTCTCATGTACACGAGCAGCTGCTAACCTCCGGTTTAGGAGCTTTTGGCTTTTTTTTTTTTGCCAAAGAGCTCCTATTATTATTATACAGTATTTATAAAGCGCCGATAGTTTGCTCAGCTCCTAAACTCAACTCCATAAAATTCTATGTGTCCATGTACACAAGACTTTCAGCAGAGTTTAGCAGCTTCCACATTTAGGTGTGGCTGAACGTTCCTCTCCTGAATGCACAAGAATCGCATTCAGGATAGGAACGTTTTGACCGCCAGAAAAACGCAATTTGCGTTTTCCCAAAGCCGGCGGTAAAGGTAGGCTTGTGTACATGGAGCCTAACGTTTACATTTTTAAAAATCTTAGTTAAAAGTGGAAGTAAACTTGCCTCTTTTATAACAGTCTTGGTCCCTCGCTGGTGTTGGCATCTTCTCCCCAGGTGCCAGTCTTCGGGCATCTCGATTGGCCAGTGCAGGATGATGCAACGCCTGCGCAGTCATCCTGCTGCACAGGGACCCATACTGGCAATGTAAGCTGAGCTCAACATGTGCAGCGCAGTTTAGATGCCGCTGAAGATTGGTGTATGTGATCACAGAACACACATTGCATGTCTCTTCTGTGATAGTACCCTGCCTGCTCAACATCTTTCCCAAATAAACCTTCAGCTTCGCTTTAAGGCTCTGTTCCCAACAAGCAATTACAGTCTGCTCATTATTTTCGTACATTGTCAGGACAATCCCAGACCCCCGAAAAGTAAAACATCTGAACCCGACAACCCCATGAGCTCTAACTTACAAGAACATCGGTACAGATTTCAGTGAGCTCCGCTTCGATCTTTTCCCTGTATTCTCTAGCCATCTGTTGTTTCTTCTCATTGCCTTCAGTCTTCTGTTCGATGCTGGAGATCACACGCCAGGAGGAGCGGCGGGCGCCTACAACGTTTTTGTAGGCAACAGACAGCAGGTTCCTCTCTTCGTTGGAGAGCTCACTGCCCTGCTCAGTCACGGCTTTCATGGCAGCAGCCATGTCATCGTAGCGCTCGGCCTGTTCAGCAAGCTTGGCCTTTTGTACCAGGTCACACTTGTCCATGTTGATTTCTGTCAAGAAAAACATTTTTTTTTAGATGGTTAGTGTAGATTAAGAAGGAAAGCCCTTTCCCCGTTTCATACACAATATGAAAAAACTGTAAAAACATTGAAAGAAGAAAAAAAAAAAAAAGTATCAAATTATCCATGCCCTATTGGTTCAATTTTTTGGGCAGCTTTCATATCTAGTGTAACAAAAGAAAACCTCTCTAATCTTGAATAGCCAATAAATTCAAATGCTCCAAGCGGCATAGACTAAGGCTCAAAGCATGCATTTTTTGCATGGAAATATGTTTTTGTTTTTTTTTTTTATTGTAGGCCTGTAATTTTTAGGAATAACGCACTGAAATCTGTCCGAACAAGTCTAGTAAACATAAATTCAAATGCTACAAGCGGCATAGCCTAAGGCTAGGTTCACAACTGGGTGGGTGGTGCCGCTGTGGATCAGCACGAAAATCCGTGCTGCCGCATAGAGGAATGCGGACCCGCGGACAGGTACCATTAATTCTAATGGCACGCCTCCCGCACTGGAAAACGCAGCCATACTTGAAACCGAGGTTCCTGTGCGGGCTGCATTTTCAGAAGTGCAGGGAATTCTTCTCTGCGTGTCACAGGGCACGGGTGTCCATTCAAATGAATGGGCTCTCATGCCCGTGCAAAACGCGACCCGCACGGCCGCATAGATGTGAACCAGGGCTAAACGTTTGTGAGCCTTGAGTGCACTCAGTGGAAGCTGCTTGGCTCATTAAAATGGTCAGCACACTCAAAACTGCTAAATGGTCGTTTGGTGGATGCTTAATCGTTAGGCTCCATGTACACTGCAGCTGATAAACTCACGTTTAGGAGCTTTTCTGCGTTTTTTTTTTCAGCAGCCCCTGAACTCTCCCCAATATCTTCCTGTGTCCATGTACACATCGTCGTTTACAGGCAGTTAAGTTTGCAGTCTTTGAATGCAAACGTGCGTTCAGGAGTAGATTTTAACAGCATTTCAAATGCCAAACGCTTGTAAACGTTGCTAACCGCGTTTATAAGCGTTTGCTAAATTTTTTTTTAACTCTTCCATTTCCAGATGCTGTCCAGAGCCTTTTTTCATCATGAGAAATGCTGCAAAGGGTTTTCCCAGTACTTAAATAGACCCGGTACACCATACTTTGAGGTTTCGCATGAAAGAAAAATACTGTTAGACACTGCTGCAATAATTTCTGCACAGAAATGAGCTGGAACACATCCAAACACAACAAAAAAAAAAAAAAGACAGCTAATCTCAACACATATTGCTCTCTCTGCTTCTCTCAAAATGTCTGAAATAGTTAATTTTTTTACTGTTTTTCAGTGCATTCCGGAAGGTCTCCTGAGGTTATCTTTAAAAAAACGCTTCTAAAAGCAAACGCCCATAAACGCGGTATGCAAACGTGGCTAAACAGACGTTTTCTAACCTACGTTTTCCAGCAGTCAGTTTCCATCGTTCAGAAGTGTCCTGTGTACATGGGGCCTTAAGCTCCCTGACTTGTATGCATATTACATGGAGTTAACCCATTTAACCTTGGGCACTGAACACACACCCATAGATGAAGAAAGCACTAACTTTTTATCAACATTGCACTGCATGTGTTTTCCAACGATTGCATTGCAGGGAGGGTGAGGTGAGGTTGCTTTGTCTGTGGGCGCCTTATAGGGTGTAACTGAAAACATATGTATAAAGGAAATGGTGCTGTCTACTTAATCATAAAAGTGAGTGGTCAGCATAAAAAAAAACAAAAAAAACAAATAATGTGCAAAGAAAACAACCCATATAAAATCAATATACCAGTAAGTGTGAAAGCAACAATACGTGTAACAACAAGAATAAAATGTGACCAAAAAATGGTAAATGATGCACTAAAATCTGCAGGTGAAAAAAAGTGATCCGTGGATGTTGTTGGGGGTCACTGATGTTTCACTGTTTTGTGTTTTTTGGGACTATTTGTTCCACATTTTTTGCCATTCGACATTATAGGTTTTTTCATATTTTTCATGCATTTATTCATCCACGGATCACTTTTTTCACCTGAAGATTTTAGTGCATCTTTTCTTATTTACCATTTTGTGGTCACATTTTATCCTTATTGTTGCTTTCACACTTGCTGGTATATCGATTTTATATGGGTTGTTCCTTTTGCACATTATTTATGTTTTTTATGCTGATTGTTCACTCACTTTATGATTAACCCCTTGGCGCCTACTGGCCCTTTAAGGGTTCCAGAAGCCGGGGCAGGGTTTTAGGGTCATGTGACCGCCGTGATTCACTGTCACAGCGGTCACATGATCGGGAAAGGTCCCGATCGAAAGACGAGATCAGGACCTTTCTGCGAGTACCGGACGTGTGCTGGGAGCAAGCAGGGCGCACACTCTCAGCACGTTTTTTTTTTTTAAAATAGAACGGAAATGTGCGGCCGCTCGACATCAATCCGCCACCCCTCTCTGCCAATCCCTCCACTGGCTTCCAACTGCCCAACGGATAAAATTCAAAATGCTAACATGGATGTATAAAGCTGTTCATAATACTGCCCCAAACTACATCACCGATCTGGTATCCAAATACCACCAAAAACGTACTCTCCACTCCTCACAAGACCTCCTACTCTCTAGTTCCCTGGTCTCCTCCTCCCATGCCTGTCTCCAGGACTTCTCCAGGGCTTCCCCCATCCTCTGGAACTCCCTACCCCAATCCATCAGACTCACCTTCCCTCCTCACCTTTAGGCACACTCTGAAAACCTCTCTCTTCAGAGAAGCCTACCCCGCCCTCAGCTAATTACTGAACTCCTCCACTCTTCCTACCACTCCATCCCCCATAGCTATTTCCTCCTGTACCACTATCCCCTCCCTCCTAGATTGTAAGCTCCAAGGAGCAGGACCCTCAATCCCCTCATGTATTGAATCGTATTGTTACTGTACTGTTTCCCATTATAATGTACAGCGCTGAGCAAACTGTTGGCGTGATATAAATCCTGTATAATAATAATTAGTAGCACAGCACCATTTCCTTTATACATTTTTTTTCAGTAATGGACTATAGTTAGGTGTTTGCAGCCACTTAGTTGGGATTTTGGTGCATTTGGCAGCGCAGGAGGCTTCTCTCTTCCCTTACTGAAAATATATGGCAAAGCAATCATAGCATGCATACACCACGCATTGGCTTACTACTTGTAAACAGGCACATGCGGCCAAAGGTTTCTTATATATAAAAGGACCAGCTTACATGGGGGGGGGGGGGGGGGGGGGGGGGGGGCCGTATTGCTTGGGAATACACAGAATATCCATTGTTTCCCTTACTATCTCATCCATTGTTTTTGAATCTAGCATCCTTTTCCCCAGAAACAAAAATGCACCATTGGACCTTACTAGTCCTCAGATGTGGTGTCCGCATTGGGTTTCTTTTTCTCCCTTCATATTCCCATGGTAATTCTGCAAATCACACACTGTTTCGTCAAATCTTTTTTTTTTTTTTTTTCTTCACTGCATCTTTTGGGGCAGCCATGGCTGTCACTGAGGCTAGGAAGCAAACATCTGCCTTTGTTTATCTCCATTACATAATGGATTAATGGGATTAGAAGTAAACACAATAAAAAGAGAAGGTTCTTTGTGATTTCTTTTCAGCTCACACAAAGTGACATGGACACTGTATTAAGCTGGACTTATATTAATCTTTTTTTTTTGTTTAACCAGCAACAAAACAAAAAACAAAAAACAAAAAAAAAAAAAAAAGAAACGACCAGATTTCCCCGTCCACACTCACAATGTTGATGGGGGAAACACTACCGCCATGGTACTGTGTTCTGATGGTGGGGAGCCTTCCCAATGTTGCAGGCGGCACGGATCGTTTGGGAAAAACCCAAAAGGCTGATTGTACAGAAGTCGACTGGAAAGTGAACTTCTGTACGACCAGCCTGCCCATGGATAGAAATTTGGCCGGTCTGTGCAGATTTAGCAGAATTTTGATCCTTGTATGGCCTTTAGGCATATTCTGTAATTGATTAGAATGTTCTTAGCCTAAATTGGGAAACATAATGAAGCCAACTAATCTTTACTGCTGTCCAATACCCCAGTGGGAGGTCCATTGAGAGGTTTTGTTGGACAGAGCTGAGCTCATCAGCCATCCTACAATGGAGAACCCATGCAGGGCATGCAACATTGCATCAATTACACCCACTAAACACAGAAGCACATGAATCCTACTGATGGCACTGCGGCACCATGCAGTTTTGAATGCATGAAAACCATGAAGAATACAGATCTTTCTAACACAGGCTAGTCAGGGGGGTGAGCTGGGGGAAAAGGAGCATTTTTAACATTAGAGTGGCTTAGCATGGAAGTCTGGGCTAAACGAAACGTAAATCTGCTCCCAGCCCTCTTCTTTTTTCTACAGCCTAGTTCCATGTATATAGCTTTTTTTAGGGTGCTTCAGTGTGGCCAGCTAAAAGTGATTCTAAAGGTTGTATTGTTTTAAATAAGAAAACAACATGCTATACTTACCGGCTGTGTAATAGTTTTGCACAGAGCAGTCTCGATCCTCCTTTTAAGGCTGGAGCTCCTGGCTCCTCCCCCTGCTGAGTGCACCCAATAGCAAGACTCTTGCTTTGAGGGCACTCGATCAGGCTCACTACAGAGCTGCGCTCCTGTGAACGGATATTGTCCATTCGCACACAGAGCATGACTCAACCACACTTGACAAAGCGCAACTGTGCGAAACAGGTCATCTTGGTAATCCTACATACGTTCCCAGCTGACGCCGGACACTGCCTTCCGCCCTTCGCTTGGCGTGATAACGCCACCCGGGACGCAGGTACGCTGACACCACGTGATTCGTAGCCGACAGGAGCGTTCTCCGATCCCAGCTCCCTTCAGAGTGGACGGGCCTTCCATTGGAGTCACACTGTTCACTTCAGGCTGGTCAAATTTTATATTTGCTACTTTGTATCACTGAATAAAGATGCACCTTCATTAAGGTGCTTGACTGAGAGCAT